ATTTTTTTTTTTATCGTTGAATATCTTAAACAATAAACTGCGAATTAAAATAAAACTTAATTTGAAGTTGAATGAAATCTAATTTTAAAAGGAAGATGTTGATGAATTTGCAGCTTATCAAGTTCTTTTTAAGAAAATAAGAAAAACGATCTAATTAAAACATATTATTTTATTGTAATTTTATAGAAAATAATTTTGGCTGTATATTAAGAATAAGTTTTACAAGACGCTTTTTAGAGTAAATATAGAGCAATTATATTACAGAAAAGTTTCACGTATATGAATAAAAAATATATATATTGATGTATTCAGTTTGTCCTGTATAAAAAATTCCGCAAGCATCCGAGATTTTTATGGGGTCGTCGATTTTTTTGGACTATTTAAATGCAAAGCCTGTGTTGCGAATATCCCTTAAATTAAAAAGGTATCGTATTTTTTCACGGGTCCGAATAGGATCGTTTTCATCTCTTTTAAAATGTTGGTTCTTTTTGACGTCTATTCATAGAAATTTTTTATATTTTTCTTATTTTCTATTATAATAATACGCGCATGTGTATTGCTAACAATAAGATAATAAGTATTACTTAACATTTTAAGTTAACGTGATGTATGATTTAAAAGACCTTAATATTTGCAGTACACAAACATACATAAAACGAAACTAGTACCACCGACTATTATACACAAGATTGTCGAAGTACGTCGACAATCAAACTATGCTATAAATATCTAATATTTTTTACGACTAGCTTTTTTTTACATTTTTTGCCAACATGCATATGTTCTAACATAAGTTGATAACCGCTTATCACTCGCCATTTTTACGGCGCGTACCGATAGATGGGATTGTTATGTGGGGTAAGCTTCTGACGAAGATCCGTGATTACTACTTTTACGAGTCCTAGGAGATCGCTTCTGTCGGGACGACAATTATGCACCCGTGCCATAATTTCCGATCCGTTGCAAAATGCGCAAAAAGTCGGTGCGCGCGCGTCAATGAATACCAAATGCCGACTAATTATCGTCGTGTCGGAATTAACCATGTCATGTCAAGGCGCCCGCGGCTACATGTGGGCGAGGTTTTGTTTAAACCTGTACCCCGAATGCATAATGACGGCTCTGGTGATGTGCCGCCGTTGGTGGGATGCCAATGTTGTGAGCGCGGAGCGCGCGTGTCAGTCTGGTTCTGACACACACGGTCCGACCTGCTTTGTTTCACGCCAGCCAGCCGTCTACGAGAAATTGAAATTTCGTTTAGACACCGCGCCCGAGAGAGCAATGTTTCGATGACGTATGAAGGTTGATTAATCTTACCACTCAACACATATTTTATGAAAGTTATGACGCAACAACACGTCTTATCGTCTTTCACACGTGTGTATTCACACATATAACGGGTTTCAAAATTATCTGTCACCAATTAGACATATTAATTTATCTATCTATTCTCTTCAAGCAATTTAGAGGAAATTTGTTTTTTATTTATGTATCAATTATTAATAAATTTAATATTATTTAGATTTTATTCTGGCATGATTTTAATTATTGCGATTTAATATGAAAAAATAAAGTAATAACGAAAAAACGAATTTTAATAAAAAATTGTGATGAAAAAATATTGACTGTGAATTTCTCAAAAAATGTATCGATAAAAAACGTAAATTGTGTGGAAAATTTTCATCGGCATGCCATACGCATTGTATTGTATTCGCTTTGCGATTGGATTAAAATTGTATTCTTAGGTTTCCGTGGCTTTTTCCGGGGAAGAAAGAGAAAAAGCGCATGGGAAAAAAACATACAGGAACGGTGACTACAATGATGTTCGATTTTATTGGTCCTCTCCCACGAGTAGTGCAGCACGTCCCATATGTGGACACACGCGCACAGTCCCTCTCTTTTTCCATACGGGCATTCGTTTTCACGAGGGACGCATACCACGTAACCAGACACTTGGCCCAAATGGTTTCCGTACAGTGCATGTAGGTTGCGGTTGTTATACTGACGGCAGTCAGCACATCGAGGAGAAGCAATGGGAGAGACGCTCTGCAAACTATGCTATAAATATCTAATATTTTTTACGACTAGCTTTTTTTTACATTTTTTGCCAACATGCATATGTTCTAACATAAGTTGATAACCGCTTATCACTCGCCATTTTTACGGCGCGTACCGATAGATGGGATTGTTATGTGGGGTAAGCTTCTGACGAAGATCCGTGATTACTACTTTTACGAGTCCTAGGAGATCGCTTCTGTCGGGAACAGTCAGCAGCGGGATTAGCCACTCTCCTCGTGTCGTCCCGAGATACTACTTTTGAATTAGACGAAACGCCATGGTGGAAGAGAGCAAGAGCGAATGAAAGAACGCAAGAGGGGGCCTTTCCGCGGCCTTAATTTTGCGGCGACAATTACACGGCGGTAACGAAATGGCCAGCGGCTTAACGTTGTAATATCACTGCAACGCGGATATTCAACGAAATTAAACCACGGCTTGCTTAACCCGAGTATTCGCCGAGAGGAAGATTTTCGAAATTCCAGAATATTTGCACTTCCTGTATTTCTGTCAATATTTTTAGTAGAATATTTAAAAAATCTCCATTTGTTAATTAATAACGAAATACGACTCATCCTATTCAATTTTCCTTTAAACATTCTATGTATTGTAATTATTTTAAATAATTACAATTTTTTTATTTAATCTTATTAAACAATTAATTTGACGTTTGTCGTACCATTTATTGTAAGATATACGCAAAAATATTTGTATCAGAATAAAAATTCAATACTTATAACTTTAAAATTTTTTGCACTGCTGTGAAACATTTAGCGAAATATAAATTCTTTAATATTCTGTACTTGATATTAAAAATCCATATAAACAAAAATTAATAAAAAAAAGTACATAAATTTTTACTCGTGTTTACCTCAAATAGATTTATGTGTAGACCGCAATTGATTTATAGAGTACTTCGTCACTGATTGCACAATCGGAAAATCTATACCGATATATATTGTATGTACGTCTCCTACATATTTCATATATTAAAAACGTCACACGGCTTTGTCAATCAATATTACAATCTCGATATAGAAATAGAGATGCGAACTGCTCGTCGATATTTGTCATATATACCGCGCGTGCTTTTATTTTACATCGGCCAGAGATTTTTTCATATTTATTTTGAATAGATTTTTTATCATGCGCTCGCCGAAAAACTCGCGGCACGGATGAAATTCGAAGTTAAACGTCACTTTACAATACGAACGGGACGCATTGCAGATACACACCGAATAAAATTCGTATTTTTCCCGTACCAATATTTGCAAAACTTCTCTGTATCCGATCAAAAATCCCAGCGTCGCAGTCTATCGACGATAAAGCACGTTCTGGGGGCAATAGGCAAAAAATATTTTATTGTCATTCCAACGTGATGGACTATATAATCAAGTCGATGGCTCAGAGTATGCAACTCAAAAACAAATTATTTTGAAGTGTTTGTCGATGAATGTAGCATATATGTTTCATTCTAATAAAACGGGATTACATGTCAAATATGACAAACCAAAAAATTATTCTAGGACGGATTTATATTTTGTATTTTAGAACGACATATTTTTGGAAAAAAGTTTTTCACGAGTATCTTTTGTATGTCATCTACGGCGCTAACAATTTTTTTAGAGATATGACACGTTTATAAATATGGATAGTTTTGGATTATTATTTGCGTCAGCTCTTCGGTCATAATATAATAGGCAATATGGTCAGTCGTAATATAATAGGCAATACGTGTATCATACACACATCTCGGTGAGATTCCATATTAAACTTTTGCTGGCGGATTACTCATTATCGTGCTAACAACTCGGGAGCGTGCCGACCTTAATCATGATTCACAAATTAATCTCGTAACACCGTCGACCGATGATATCATTTGTTGACGGCACCGTCTAGCCAAATATATTAGGATACGGAAGACGTGCGAGTAAGTTATAATTGTGTGCACGGAGATTACCCTCCAACATCGGCAAATATATCCGTTGTGCCGGCTGTAATTTAATCGGCGGAATGTCGAGAATTCGACGCGTTAACTCCTGTGAATCTTCTCAGCATAGGAACGCTGGAAAAATCGTTAATCTGACATGAAAATGATGATAAAGAGCAGGTCGTTTCTGTGGAGTTTCTGTGGAATCAAATGGTTAAGAATTATTTTTATTAAAACAAACGTGTGTACGCTGCAATAAAAATCAGGATTTATTTTGTAAGCTTTATATAATAGTTAGTTAATTACTTGTTTTTTTAAGTTTAGACGCACACAAAATTACTATCTATTTGAATAATTAAAAAGAAAATAGAAAATAAAATAGAAAATAGAAAATAAAATTATAATAAGATATTAACAAAGATAAGATAAAAAATGATTTCTTGTTCTTTTTAATATTTTCTAAAATATTTACGCTCACAATCAAATGAAATTTGATCATTGTAATAATAGGGCAAGTTTTACGACGGTCAAATTGATTGAAAATGTGTGCTTGAGAATTAATTTAATCCTTCAGTTGAGCTTGATCCACTTTTGATTTAACATCAATATTTAATCGATAACGGTTCGTTTCACAACGAACTTTGCCAACAAACCGCAAAACCATAAGAACGCTAATTGCCATTTTATTAGTACAAGAATATTTCAGACTTTATTTAACGGCCGCGACCATTTAGATTGAACATTTGAACAACGAGCACCGGCAAATGGAAAATTATACAGAATCTCTCAAGAGAGCTTTAGCTTCCTAATTTGTTAAATTTAAATGATCATATCTTATAGCATAGATTAAAAAATATTAAAACCATAATTTTAGAAAATCTATTAAAATGTTTAGGAAAAGTTAGGAAATCAATATTTCAACATTAATTTCATATATTATACGTTTCCTATTAAACGTAACTATGTTAAATAATCATATTATTGGATTGATAAAAATAAATCGATTTTCTTTTTACAGGTGGAAATGGCGATATTGAGGATTCGGATACTGACGTACAGGACTACAGCACGGACGAGGACTACAACGATGTTTTCGACTCGACCAGTAACGGGTGAGTGTTATATATCTATCTACAACCCCTATTCTCTTATCGTCTTATCGCGGGATTAAATGCAGAACATATATCCGTCTAACTAGCACCGTGCTTAATTAGCAATTAAAATTGCTATCGATCGCGTCCATCAACGATGACCGAAGACTTCCTACCTGTATCCGGGCGAAATTGCCGAGACAAGCAAGAAACCGACCCTTTTTAATTGCGTTACACTTTCACATACACATACTATCGCATTCTTTTTTGTGAGGACTTAAAAACAAAGGACGAAATGAGAATACTTCGTTGAATCGCGTCAAAGTATCTGTTCGGATAATTGGCTTATCCTGATCGAGTAGAACGCGATTAGCAATATTAACGGATTCTGATTCATATATACATTTCATTATAATTAATTATCATATCGTTAGTTATACTTATTTTTTATTATTATTCAACAAAACAAAATTTATATGTATATTTCCTGCGTGAGAGATGGAAGAAAATACATCCTAATAAAAATATAAAAAATACAACAATTTTGCTTAAATGGAAAATTTTTTTCCAGAAAAATGTTTTAATATCGAAATTAAAAAAAAAAAAAAAATTGTTAATAACAATATAATATTTCCAGCTAAAGATTAGAAAATTAAATATAAATGTTATGATATTATTAGAAACGCACAATTTACTCAAACTTTTCAAAATCTCTTTCATAGCGATCTAAAAAAAAAAAAAGGTATAATAATATTTATTTCGAAGGAAATATATAATCGAAAGAAAGAAAGTCGGCCAGATATCGTACAAAAAGAGAAAAATATTATGAAGGGAACGAAAGATATTTCACAGATTCGTTCTTACTGTATAACGGAAAACCAAGATAAGGACAAGGGAAGAGGAACCCCGCGGGGCTTAATAAGGAAGCGACTTGATTGGTTCGATTCGAAAGCTAATAATGCCACTTCCCGTGTAGGCAAGTCCCGTGGAACTGTAAAGGCTGCCGCATGATTAAATTTGAATTCTCCGCCCCCTCCCATCCTCTCCACGACTAAGCTAATTTGCGAAGGACGCGTCGATAGAGCCAATCGAAATTCCGTAGTTCAAATTTCATATCCGCGCTTTCCTCGGGCAGCGATTGCGAAGTAGCTTCCGACAGGCTTTTCGGTGTGTAAGTTTACAACGGGATGAAAATATATTTGAAAATTCCCATCTCGGGAATGTCCCTTCGCACTCGGGACGTCGAGTAGAAAAGTCGCGCAATTTCCGCGATGCTGCTCGCGCTGTGCGATTTTCTTTCCACGAGGAGTCGATATCGACGTCCCGTCGCAATAAATCAGTTTTGTCGTTACACTGGAAAATTTAATATCGAAATCAGCGTCGGGCAGAGAGGAAAAGTTCCCAATTCGTCGAAGGATAGGTGCTTAAAATGTCATTCGGTGGTTCTGGAGAGCACTCTCTACATACGGGATATTGCTAGCTCGAATATGTAATATATCTTTTTAATTTCCTGTTAACGTTTCTTCTTCTTTTTCATGAAAATCTTTTACTGTCGAATAGAAAAGTCGCGCACTTTCTACGGAGTTTGAGACTTCTGCAATTTTTTCTTCTCAAGAAATCGATATTGACGTCTCGTCGCTATAAATCAGTTTGATCGGTTAGAAAATTGAATATCGAAATCTATGTTGCGAGTGGAAAGACAAAAATCAATTTTTCTTAATTAAAAGATATTATTAATTTTTAAATTATAAACGACTGAGAAAATAAAAAAGCTTATTGATGACTAATATTCTTAGATCTATATAACAGTATTTTATGATGCATAAATTGTATTTTGTTTAATATTACTATGTCATTATATATGATTTTCTTCATGCTCGGATACACAAATGACATACGAGTTGATAGTAGTGCATAGATTTACTGCGGTGTATTCCGATACGATAATACACTCGTCGTTATTGAAATTACATGCCATAAAACGCGCATGCGACATCTTGCTTCCAAGATAGCACATATATCTTTAGCTGTTTCATTGGAATTTATATGTTTCTCGCGTAGTCGTACTCAAGAAATATTTCAGAGATCTATATAAAACTATATACGATCTTAATGCCACGGAATTTTTACTTATACTGCGCGTGAGAATTATTATCACGAATAAAATATTTTTCATAAAGTTTCATATATTAAATACTTATAAACGATGAAACAATTTTTATAATTTTTAAAGCGTTTTGACATTTTATAAAGCATACCGAAAGCACGCAATATATTTATAAAATGTAAAAAGTACGTTAAGCAATATTAAAGTACAATTCGTCTAAATAAATTATAATTATCATCATAAATCTACGAAGATGAAAGATTGATCTATCTCAACCACACTCTTGAACTTGGAGTTTGATTTTGTACCTGCATAATTAAACTACGGTAATATGATACATTTCGTGTTAGATCATATTTGGATAAGTAAAATTGCAATAACCATAAATTCACGACGATCAGATTTAATTACATTATTCTAACCAAGACGCCATACTCAAGTTTGCCGTTGTACAACTTTGGCTTTACGCCATAACCCGAAATATCACGTTTACGCACCTACACGTGACATTAGTTTACATCATTACATCACGACATAATGACACGGTAATGGGTTCGCCGCGATTGAAAATACACATCCTAGTCGATCGTGGTGACACATTATGGTCCTGATACCGATAACACGACTGACACATGCGGCTCGCTGCGTATGAGCATTTGTGTGTGAGTGCGTGCCTTTGTATTTGCGTATGCACACAATCTCGACATGTATTTCTCCAATGCGATCGCTATTACATTATTCGACCCTAAATGTGACATAGCTCCATTAATATCGATACCCGGTTGGTTTCGCGCTTCTACGAGTAGCCGTTTCTCTATACAGGATGTTAAGCAAGAATAAATCTCCCTTCTGGAAACGCCCTCATAATCATACGATTATCGCAATCGCTCGATTGAAAAAGAATCCAATTATAGAAATGGAATTTTTAATAAAGTATAAAGTTGGGAACCTATAATACACATATTGAAAAAGTTTACATTGCCTTAAAAACTATTATATATATATATATATTCATGCGAATATAATATGGAAATAAATATAAATATAAATGCAAATACAGAAGAATACAGATACATAATTATTCGAAATCAAGTGTTAATCAATTCATCTATTAGCGATTATTTGTACACGATTGGTGGCGGAAATTTCTATAACCGCATCAGTCGTAATAATCAATCAATAATCAATTATTTATCTCTAATTTAGATATAAATGTGACGGCGTGCATTACTTCCCAATGAATGTTGAATATTTTAATATATTGAAACAACATGTTATTGGCTTGAAAATGAAGGCCATATTCGATAAACTTTTGCATTTGCCAGTTTCCAATCACGACGTAATTGAAATCGTTATTTAATAGTAATAGGCACCGTAATAGGTAACAAAAATACGATTGACATTGATAAATCACTCAACAATTGTTTGTCGAGCTTGTTCAAGAATTGCTTACCAATAAAACGCCTACGCATAAAACGAAACGATATATGAGCGAAAATTACAGAATTAAATTGTAACGATTTATGTATGTGTGTATATTCTCATCATTTTTAGCGTCACATATTATACCTATATTGAATGTTATTTCTAATATAAGAGTTATTTTGAGCGATCATATTTAATGTAAAATTTTGTTAATAATATAATTTTCTTAATAATAAAAAATTAGTTAAGCATTTTTACATTTTGTTTATATTGAAATATGAATTGATTTACGAATTGTAAAGAAACAGTAATAAATATAATTGTCATATAAGAAAATTAAAAAAAAATTGAAATACATATATCTATATATATTTTATGCAAACAAATTGACAAAAAGATAATAAGAATATGAGAATTAAAAAAATCTGAAATTTTTTTATGTGTGAGAATACTCGGTCCATTATGATGTTTTATTCTACAATTTGTACATTTCCTTTCAGCATTAACTTTAACTTTCCAAGCAGGCGAGCGGGAAACAAGCTCTACCACTTAAAATGTTGTCTCCGACATTAAGGTGCGGGATCGCCGTTGAGCAGTGGGAGGAAAGAGGGCAAGGGATGGTTAAATGTTGCATTATTTATAGAAACCCTGCAACCTCCTAATCCTCGTCTGAGAAGGTCTTCTACCTGCTTGAAATGGCCAACGAAGGAAGTGACGTAATACCGTCGGTGCGACGAAGTGTTAACGTTTTCCAACGCACATTTTCCTTACAAATCTTTCGCGTCTCTTTCGAAGAAATCTTATAGATTACATTTTCCTTTAATACTGTGTTTTACATTTCATAAAATTCTCTGGTATCTAAATATGTAATATTTCTATAATATCGAATGAATTGTGTGTACATTCAACTATCTAAAATGTAAAAAATCAAGTTTTTTTTTATAACGATCTTAAAGAAGTTATCTCTTTATGAATGATGTTATTTGTGCTTTTATTTATATTATTATTTTAATTTAAAGCAAAGCATTTATGCTATATCTCAATTCATTCTCTTATAAAAAGAAGAAAACTTTTATTCTCTGGTTTAAAATTTAAGCGCATCTCGCTGAATTATTAGAATATAATGGCAAATCTATGTCGGCGATCGCAAGCTTAATCAGTACGTGAATGCGCAATATATATTCGCCCAATAATATCCTACTCATGGAACAAACATCGTGCGCTACGAGGGACCGAGCCGCGTAATTAGTAGAGTTGCATATGCTATTATGTATCACGAGTGTACGTCGTGCATGTTCTAACCCATTTGTCAATCTTTGCCATCGGCATTCTCTGCCGCAGGATAGCAAACTGTATATCAATGTTTGAATTATTAAAAAGCGTAAAATCGGATATTTGCCAAGTCAAATTTGGCAAGCTTATTCAAGATTTTGTACAAATAATAAATTTGCATTTTTTTAAACATAAATATTTTGTATCACATATATACATAAAATGATAAACACCATAATCTTCGTGTTTAATGCTAAAGGTCTCGATTTTATTTAACTTTATGCCATATAAATACGCGCATGTGTATTGCTAACAATAAGATAATAAGTATTACTTAACATTTTAAGTTAACGTGATGTATGATTTAAAAGACCTTAATATTTGCAGTACACAAACATACATAAAACGAAACTAGTACCACCGACTATTATACACAAGATTGTCGAAGTACGTCGACAATTATGCACCCGTGCCATAATTTCCGATCCGTTGCAAAATGCGCAAAAAGTCGGTGCGCGCGCGTCAATGAATACCAAATGCCGACTAATTATCGTCGTGTCGGAATTAACCATGTCATGTCAAGGCGCCCGCGGCTACATGTGGGCGAGGTTTTGTTTAAACCTGTACCCCGAATGCATAATGACGGCTCTGGTGATGTGCCGCCGTTGGTGGGATGCCAATGTTGTGAGCGCGGAGCGCGCGTGTCAGTCTGGTTCTGACACACACGGTCCGACCTGCTTTGTTTCACGCCAGCCAGCCGTCTACGAGAAATTGAAATTTCGTTTAGACACCGCGCCCGAGAGAGCAATGTTTCGATGACGTATGAAGGTTGATTAATCTTACCACTCAACACATATTTTATGAAAGTTATGACGCAACAACACGTCTTATCGTCTTTCACACGTGTGTATTCACACATATAACGGGTTTCAAAATTATCTGTCACCAATTAGACATATTAATTTATCTATCTATTCTCTTCAAGCAATTTAGAGGAAATTTGTTTTTTATTTATGTATCAATTATTAATAAATTTAATATTATTTAGATTTTATTCTGGCATGATTTTAATTATTGCGATTTAATATGAAAAAATAAAGTAATAACGAAAAAACGAAATTTAATAAAAAATTGTGATGAAAAAATATTGACTGTGAATTTCTCAAAAAATGTATCGATAAAAAACGTAAATTGTGTGAAAAATTTTCATCGGCATGCCATACGCATTGTATTGTATTCGCTTTGCGATTGGATTAAAATTGTATTCTTAGGTTTCCGTGGCTTTTTCCGGGGAAGAAAGAGAAAAAGCGCATGGGAAAAAAACATACAGGAACGGTGACTACAATGATGTTCGATTTTATTGGTCCTCTCCCACGAGTAGTGCAGCACGTCCCATATGTGGACACACGCGCACAGTCCCTCTCTTTTTCCATACGGGCATTCGTTTTCACGAGGGACGCATACCACGTAACCAGACACTTGGCCCAAATGGTTTCCGTACAGTGCATGTAGGTTGCGGTTGTTATACTGACGGCAGTCAGCACATCGAGGAGAAGCAATGGGAGAGACGCTCACGATTGCTACAACGAAATGTCCAATATTTTTGTATGGACAACCATAAATCATATCGTAAATCATGGTGACTTGTTTTTCACATGTAAGTACTTATCTTTCAGATATGTGTTAAGGATATAAATTGAAATCATAAAAAATAAATGTTAAGAGAGAGATTGATTGATTGACCATACGGTAACTTTTTCTACAGATACAAAGTTAAATTCAGAACGGTACGAAAAAGTACGAATGCAATTCTCGGCCCGATAGTGTTTTATGCAGCGCAGCAGCGTTTCCATAAATTGCACAGCCGCAGTCGCGCTGTAATTAAAAAAAGCAATGTCCCTGCGATTCACACACGGGTCGATTCATATGCACCGACACGGAAAATATTCGCGCGCGACACCAGGCGAATATTCACCGAAATTAGAAGTTATTAAAGGATGCAGGATTTTGGCGGTAGCATTCGGCGACCAGATATATTAAATTATCTAAGTCAAATTATCAGAATATAATAAATTATATGTATATGGAAATATTTTGCTAAAATTTTTTTGCTATTTTTTGTTTTAAAAAATAATTTTTTTGCTCCAACTATTAAAAAGTTTCTTTATTACAATGCAGTTGTTGTCAAGCATAAATATAATATTCCATAAAAGTAAAATGTTGCTTTAATATTTGTTTCTCTGCGTGATATTCAGATATTTTAAATTTTATTCCAAAATTGTGACATTGATAGAGTGGCAATAAAAATAAACATTAAAAGAGGACTATGATGGAAAATATGTCCCTGTGTTTTTAACATAAATGTACTATATTTCCAATGTTAGTGAGCACGTTAAAACACTGAATCCTGCAACAATTTACATGGTGCAGTAAATCTCATCATCTCTACGATATTATCAACCCACTAATTCGAAATGAAGAGGAAGATTTTCGAAATTCCAGAATATTTGCACTTCCTTTATTTCTGTCAATATTTTTAGTAGAATATTTAAAAAATCTCCATTTGTTAATTAATAACGAAATACGACTCATCCTATTCAATTTTCCTTTAAACATTCTATGTATTGTAATTATTTTAAATAATTACAATTTTTTTATTTAATCTTATTAAACAATTAATTTGACGTTTGTCGTACCATTTATTGTAAGGTATACGCAAAAATATTTGTATCAGAATAAAAATTCAATACTTATAACTTTAAAATTTTTTGCACTGCTGTGAAACATTTAGCGAAATATAAATTCTTTAATATTCTGTACTTGATATTAAAAATCCATATAAACAAAAATTAATAAAAAAAAGTACATAAATTTTTACTCGTGTTTACCTCAAATAGATTTATGTGTAGACCGCAATTGATTTATAGAGTACTTCGTCACTGATTGCACAATCGGAAAATCTATACCGATATATATTGTATGTACGTCTCCTACATATTTCATATATTAAAAACGTCACACGGCTTTGTCAATCAATATTACAATCTCGATATAGAAATAGAGATGCGAACTGCTCGTCGATATTTGTCATATATACCGCGCGTGCTTTTATTTTACATCGGCCAGAGATTTTTTCATATTTATTTTGAATAGATTTTTTATCATGCGCTCGCCGAAAAACTCGCGGCACGGATGAAATTCGAAGTTAAACGTCACTTTACAATACGAACGGGACGCATTGCAGATACACACCGAATAAAATTCGTATTTTTCCCGTACCAATATTTGCAAAACTTCTCTGTATCCGATCAAAAATCCCAGCGTCGCAGTCTATCGACGATAAAGCACGTTCTGGGGGCAATAGGCAAAAAATATTTTATTGTCATTCCAACGTGATGGACTATATAATCAAGTCGATGGCTCAGAGTATGCAACTCAAAAACAAATTATTTTGAAGTGTTTGTCGATGAATGTAGCATATATGTTTCATTCTAATAAAACGGGATTACATGTCAAATATGACAAACCAAAAAATTATTCTAGGACGGATTTATATTTTGTATTTTAGAACGACATATTTTTGGAAAAAAGTTTTTCACGAGTATCTTTTGTATGTCATCTACGGCGCTAACAATTTTTTTAGAGATATGACACGTTTATAAATATGGATAGTTTTGGATTATTATTTGCGTCAGCTCTTCGGTCATAATATAATAGGCAATATGGTCAGTCGTAATATAATAGGCAATACGTGTATCATACACACATCTCGGTGAGATTCCATATTAAACTTTTGCTGGCGGATTACTCATTATCGTGCTAACAACTCGGGAGCGTGCCGACCTTAATCATGATTCACAAATTAATCTCGTAACACCGTCGACCGATGATATCATTTGTTGACGGCACCGTCTAGCCAAATATATTAGGATACGGAAGACGTGCGAGTAAGTTATAATTGTGTGCACGGAGATTACCCTCCAACATCGGCAAATATATCCGTTGTGCCGGCTGTAATTTAATCGGCGGAATGTCGAGAATTCGACGCGTTAACTCCTGTGAATCTTCTCAGCATAGGAACGCTGGAAAAATCGTTAATCTGACATGAAAATGATGATAAAGAGCAGGTCGTTTCTGTGGAGTTTCTGTGGAATCAAATGGTTAAGAATTATTTTTATTAAAACAAACGTGTGTACGCTGCAATAAAAATCAGGATTTATTTTGTAAGCTTTATATAATAGTTAGTTAATTACTTGTTTTTTTAAGTTTAGACGCACACAAAATTACTATCTATTTGAATAATTAAAAAGAAAATAGAAAATAAAATAGAAAATAGAAAATAAAATTATAATAAGATATTAACAAAGATAAGATAAAAAATGATTTCTTGTTCTTTTTAATATTTTCTAAAATATTTACGCTCACAATCAAATGAAATTTGATCATTGTAATAATAGGGCAAGTTTTACGACGGTCAAATTGATTGAAAATGTGTGCTTGAGAATTAATTTAATCCTTCAGTTGAGCTTGATCCACTTTTGATTTAACATCAATATTTAATCGATAACGGTTCGTTTCACAACGAACTTTGCCAACAAACCGCAAAACCATAAGAACGCTAATTGCCATTTTATTAGTACAAGAATATTTCAGACTTTATTTAACGGCCGCGACCATTTAGATTGAACATTTGAACAACGAGCACCGGCAAATGGAAAATTATACAGAATCTCTCAAGAGAGCTTTAGCTTCCTAATTTGTTAAATTTAAATGATCATATCTTATAGCATAGATTAAAAAATATTAAAACCATAATTTTAGAAAATCTATTAAAATGTTTAGGAAAAGTTAGGAAATCAATATTTCAACATTAATTTCATATATTATACGTTTCCTATTAAACGTAACTATGTTAAATAATCATATTATTGGATTGATAAAAATAAATCGATTTTCTTTTTACAGGTGGAAATGGCGATATTGAGGATTCGGATACTGACGTACAGGACTACAGCACGGACGAGGACTACAACGATGTTTTCGACTCGACCAGTAACGGGTGAGTGTTATATATCTATCTACAACCCCTATTCTCTTATCGTCTTATCGCGGGATTAAATGCAGAACATATATCCGTCTAACTAGCACCGTGCTTAATTAGCAATTAAAATTGCTATCGATCGCGTCCATCAACGATGACCGAAGACTTCCTACCTGTATCCGGGCGAAATTGCCGAGACAAGCAAGAAACCGACCCTTTTTAATTGCGTTACACTTTCACATACACATACTATCGCATTCTTTTTTGTGAGGACTTAAAAACAAAGGACGAAATGAGAATACTTCGTTGAATCGCGTCAAAGTATCTGTTCGGATAATTGGCTTATCCTGATCGAGTAGAACGCGATTAGCAATATTAACGGATTCTGATTCATATATACATTTCATTATAATTAATTATCATATCGTTAGTTATACTTATTTTTTATTATTATTCAACAAAACAAAATTTATATGTATATTTCCTGCGTGAGAGATGGAAGAAAATACATCCTAATAAAAATATAAAAAATACAACAATTTTGCTTAAATGGAAAATTTTTTTCCAGAAAAATGTTTTAATATCGAAATTAAAAAAAAAAAAAAAATTGTTAATAACAATATAATATTTCCAGCTAAAGATTAGAAAATTAAATATAAATGTTATGATATTATTAGAAACGCACAATTTACTCAAACTTTTCAAAATCTCTTTCATAGCGATCTAAAAAAAAAAAAAGGTATAATAATATTTATTTCGAAGGAAATATATAATCGAAAGAAAGAAAGTCGGCCAGATATCGTACAAAAAGAGAAAAATATTATGAAGGGAACGAAAGATATTTCACAGATTCGTTCTTACTGTATAACGGAAAACCAAGATAAGGACAAGGGAAGAGGAACCCCGCGGGGCTTAATAAGGAAGCGACTTGATTGGTTCGATTCGAAAGCTAATAATGCCACTTCCCGTGTAGGCAAGTCCCGTGGAACTGTAAAGGCTGCCGCATGATTAAATTTGAATTCTCCGCCCCCTCCCATCCTCTCCACGACTAAGCTAATTTGCGAAGGACGCGTCGATAGAGCCAATCGAAATTCCGTAGTTCAAATTTCATATCCGCGCTTTCCTCGGGCAGCGATTGCGAAGTAGCTTCCGACAGGCTTTTCGGTGTGTAAGTTTACAACGGGATGAAAATATATTTGAAAATTCCCATCTCGGGAATGTCCCTTCGCACTCGGGACGTCGAGTAGAAAAGTCGCGCAATTTCCGCGATGCTGCTCGCGCTGTGCGATTTTCTTTCCACGAGGAGTCGATATCGACGTCCCGTCGCAATAAATCAGTTTTGTCGTTACACTGGAAAATTTAATATCGAAATCAGCGTCGGGCAGAGAGGAAAAGTTCCCAATTCGTCGAAGGATAGGTGCTTAAAATGTCATTCGGTGGTTCTGGAGAGCACTCTCTACATACGGGATATTGCTAGCTCGAATATGTAATATATCTTTTTAATTTCCTGTTAACGTTTCTTCTTCTTTTTCATGAAAATCTTTTACTGTCGAATAGAAAAGTCGCGCACTTTCTACGGAGTTTGAGACTTCTGCAATTTTCTCTTCTCAAGAAATCGATATTGACGTCTTGTCGCTATAAATCAGTTTGATCGGTTAGAAAATTGAATATCGAAATCTATGTTGCGAGTGGAAAGACAAAAATCAATTTTTCTTAATTAAAAGATATTATTAATTTTTAAATTATAAACGACTGAGAAAATAAAAAAGCTTATTGATGACTAATATTCTTAGATCTATATAACAGTATTTTATGATGCATAAATTGTATTTCGTTTAATATTACTATGTCATTATATATGATTTTCTTCATGCTCGGATACACAAATGACATACGAGTTGATAGTAGTGCATAGATTTACTGCGGTGTATTCCGATACGATAATACACTCGTCGTTATTGAAATTACATGCCATAAAACGCGCATGCGACATCTTGCTTCCAAGATAGCACATATATCTTTAGCTGTTTCATTGGAATTTATATGTTTCTCGCGTAGTCGTACTCAAGAAATATTTCAGAGATCTATATAAAACTATATACGATCTTAATGCCACGGAATTTTTACTTATACTGCGCGTGAGAATTATTATCACGAATAAAATATTTTTCATAAAGTTTCATATATTAAATACTTATAAACGATGAAACAATTTTTATAATTTTTAAAGCGTTTTGACATTTTATAAAGCATACCGAAAGCACGCAATATATTTATAAAATGTAAAAAGTACGTTAAGCAATATTAAAGTACAATTCGTCTAAATAAATTATAATTATCATCATAAATCTACGAAGATGAAAGATTGATCTATCTCAACCACACTCTTGAACTTGGAGTTTGATTTTGTACCTGCATAATTAAACTACGGTAATATGATACATTTCGTGTTAGATCATATTTGGATAAGTAAAATTGCAATAACCATAAATTCACGACGATCAGATTTAATTACATTATTCTAACCAAGACGCCATACTCAAGTTTGCCGTTGTACAACTTTGGCTTTACGCCATAACCCGAAATATCACGTTTACGCACCTACACGTGACATTAGTTTACATCATTACATCACGACATAATGACACGGTAATGGGTTCGCCGCGATTGAAAATACACATCCTAGTCGATCGTGGTGACACATTATGGTCCTGATACCGATAACACGACTGACACATGCGGCTCGCTGCGTATGAGCATTTGTGTGTGAGTGCGTGCCTTTGTATTTGCGTATGCACACAATCTCGACATGTATTTCTCCAATGCGATCGCTATTACATTATTCGACCCTAAATGTGACATAGCTCCATTAATATCGATACCCGGTTGGTTTCGCGCTTCTACGAGTAGCCGTTTCTCTATACAGGATGTTAAGCAAGAATAAATCTCCCTTCTGGAAACGCCCTCATAATCATACGATTATCGCAATCGCTCGATTGAAAAAGAATCCAATTATAGAAATGGAATTTTTAATAAAGTATAAAGTTGGGAACCTATAATACACATATTGAAAAAGTTTACATTGCCTTAAAAACTATTATATATATATATATATTCATGCGAATATAATATGGAAATAAATATAAATATAAATGCAAATACAGAAGAATACAGATACATAATTATTCGAAATCAAGTGTTAATCAATTCATCTATTAGCGATTATTTGTACACGATTGGTGGCGGAAATTTCTATAACCGCATCAGTCGTAATAATCAATCAATAATCAATTATTTATCTCTAATTTAGATATAAATGTGACGGCGTGCATTACTTCCCAATGAATGTTGAATATTTTAATATATTGAAACAACATGTTATTGGCTTGAAAATGAAGGCCATATTCGATAAACTTTTGCATTTGCCAGTTTCCAATCACGACGTAATTGAAATCGTTATTTAATAGTAATAGGCACCGTAATAGGTAACAAAAATACGATTGACATTGATAAATCACTCAACAATTGTTTGTCGAGCTTGTTCAAGAATTGCTTACCAATAAAACGCCTACGCATAAAACGAAACGATATATGAGCGAAAATTACAGAATTAAATTGTAACGATTTATGTATGTGTGTATATTCTCATCATTTTTAGCGTCACATATTATACCTATATTGAATGTTATTTCTAATATAAGAGTTATTTTGAGCGATCATATTTAATGTAAAATTTTGTTAATAATATAATTTTCTTAATAATAAAAAATTAGTTAAGCATTTTTACATTTTGTTTATATTGAAATATGAATTGATTTACGAATTGTAAAGAAACAGTAATAAATATAATTGTCATATAAGAAAATTAAAAAAAAATTGAAATACATATATCTATATATATTTTATGCAAACAAATTGACAAAAAGATAATAAGAATATGAGAATTAAAAAAATCTGAAATTTTTTTATGTGTGAGAATACTCGGTCCATTATGATGTTTTATTCTACAATTTGTACATTTCCTTTCAGCATTAACTTTAACTTTCCAAGCAGGCGAGCGGGAAACAAGCTCTACCACTTAAAATGTTGTCTCCGACATTAAGGTGCGGGATCGCCGTTGAGCAGTGGGAGGAAAGAGGGCAAGGGATGGTTAAATGTTGCATTATTTATAGAAACCCTGCAACCTCCTAATCCTCGTCTGAGAAGGTCTTCTACCTGCTTGAAATGGCCAACGAAGGAAGTGACGTAATACCGTCGGTGCGACGAAGTGTTAACGTTTTCCAACGCACATTTTCCTTACAAATCTTTCGCGTTTCTTTCGAAGAAATCTTATAGATTACATTTTCCTTTAATACTGTGTTTTACATTTCATAAAATTCTCTGATATCTAAATATGTAATATTTCTATAATATCGAATGAATTGTGTGTACATTCAACTATCTAAAATGTAAAAAATCAAGTTTTTTTTTATAACGATCTTAAAGAAGTTATCTCTTTATGAATGATGTTATTTGTGCTTTTATTTATATTATTATTTTAATTTAAAGCAAAGCATTTATGCTATATCTCAATTCATTCTCTTATAAAAAGAAGAAAACTTTTATTCTCTGGTTTAAAATTTAAGCGCATCTCGCTGAATTATTAGAATATAATGGCAAATCTATGTCGGCGATCGCAAGCTTAATCAGTACGTGAATGCGCAATATATATTCGCCCAATAATATCCTACTCATGGAACAAACATCGTGCGCTACGAGGGACCGAGCCGCGTAATTAGTAGAGTTGCATATGCTATTATGTATCACGAGTGTACGTCGTGCATGTTCTAACCCATTTGTCAATCTTTGCCATCGGCATTCTCTGCCGCAGGATAGCAAACTGTATATCAATGTTTGAATTATTAAAAAGCGTAAAATCGGATATTTGCCAAGTCAAATTTGGCAAGCTTATTCAAGATTTTGTACAAATAATAAATTTGCATTTTTTTAAACATAAATATTTTGTATCACATATATACATAAAATGATAAACACCATAATCTTCGTGTTTAATGCTAAAGATCTCGATTTTATTTAACTTCATGCCATATAACCTTCTATAGAATTTTCTTTTCTTTATCACACAGCGAGACAGCGCGAAGATGTCGTTAGGATGCGCCAATAGATAAGAGCGCAGCATCCCGTTTACGTACGTAAATGTATGCAATTTTATCGCGCGTCACCGAGTTAAGAATGCACGCGCGCATGTCACCGCGTACAGCGCGCTGAAAATGAAAAGAGCGCGTTTTGCTTCAACCAGCTGATAAACGCGGCGCCGCTTCAAAATGCATAGAATTACTTTACATAGCGGGTAGATAAAGTGCAGTCAACTGAAGCACTGTGCAGAACACCACAGGCGGTGTACGTATTTTCATCTTGCCAGTCTACACGCCGCTAATTTCATACGCGCCACCCGGCGTCGAAAATTGCCAGCCGCAGTTGACACACGCGTGTCGCGGTTGATATTTATGCAATTTACATTGGCGCATTTTCATACATCGAGAAACTCCAACTTTCAGCATATCCTAGAGAAATCAAATTTTTTTGCTATATTTAATTAGACAGCTAATCCACACATGGTTTTCAGAGGACTTTTTCATAAAATTCTCTGATATCTAAATATGTAATATTTCTATAATATCGAATGAATTGTGTGTACATTCAACTATCTAAAATGTAAAAAATCAAGTTTTTTTTTATAACGATCTTAAAGAAGTTATCTCTTTATGAATGATGTTATTTGTGCTTTTATTTATATTATTATTTTAATTTAAAGCAAAGCATTTATGCTATATCTCAATTCATTCTCTTATAAAAAGAAGAAAACTTTTATTCTCTGGTTTAAAATTTAAGCGCATCTCGCTGAATTATTAGAATATAATGGCAAATCTATGTCGGCGATCGCAAGCTTAATCAGTACGTGAATGCGCAATATATATTCGCCCAATAATATCCTACTCATGGAACAAACATCGTGCGCTACGAGGGACCGAGCCGCGTAATTAGTAGAGTTGCATATGCTATTATGTATCACGAGTGTACGTCGTGCATGTTCTAACCCATTTGTCAATCTTTGCCATCGGCATTCTCTGCCGCAGGATAGCAAACTGTATATCAATGTTTGAATTATTAAAAAGCGTAAAATCGGATATTTGCCAAGTCAAATTTGGCAAGCTTATTCAAGATTTTGTACAAATAATAAATTTGCATTTTTTTAAACATAAATATTTTGTATCACATATATACATAAAATGATAAACACCATAATCTTCGTGTTTAATGCTAAAGATCTCGATTTTATTTAACTTCATGCCATATAACCTTCTATAGAATTTTCTTTTCTTTATCACACAGCGAGACAGCGCGAAGATGTCGTTAGGATGCGCCAATAGATAAGAGCGCAGCATCCCGTTTACGTACGTAAATGTATGCAATTTTATCGCGCGTCACCGAGTTAAGAATGCACGCGCGCATGTCACTGCGTGCAGCGCGCTGAAAATTTCGCTTCAACCAGCTGATAAACGCGGCGCCGCTTCAAAATGCATAGAATTACTTTACATAGCGGGTAGATAAAGTGCAGTCAACTGACGCACTGTGCAGAGCACCACAGGCGGTGTACGTATTTTCATCTTGCCAGTCTACACGCCGCTAATTTCATACGCGCCACCCGGCGTCGAAAATTGCCAGCCGCAGTTGACACACGCGTGTCGCGGTTGATATTTATGCAATTTACATTGGCGCATTTTCATACATCGAGAAACTCCAACTTTCAGCATATCCTAGAGAAATCAAATTTTTTTGCTATATTTAATTAGACAGCTAATCCACACATGGTTTTCAGAGGACTTCAAATTTAATATTTAGAAAAATATTAAATATGCAAAGAGAATATAATATAATACTTTCCAAATATTTTCTTAACAAATATGCAAAGAAATTAACAAATTCTGATGTATATGTAATAAAGTCTTATTTTTGTAGTGAAATTTACTTCGACAAAATTGGGAGTTGTGGCGGAAAACTGTCTGTTCTAAAAATAGAAACGTTAAAATTAATTTTGATTGATAATGAGAGCGTGATATCTATTTTTAATAAAACATCATATCATGACGAAAAAAATATAGATCAGATATTATTGACATGAGAGATGCATTTTGTTAAATGTTAAATCTTGTAAAACATGTGTGTGTACTTTTATTGTCTAATATGAGAAATATTTTATCCGAATCTCAATTTCTCTCTACATACATATTACGATCCAAAATACGAGTTTTGATACATGATCTCCCTGCGATTATCCACTTCCCAGTTATTCTGACAAATGTTTGCAAACGACGTTGTGCTTCGTCACGAACGAGGCGAACTTCCTGCCAGGCCTGTACCATCACGATGACTTACTCCTGATCATAGGTTGATTTATATTCAATAACCAGCGGTAAACGTGGGGTTAGTTACTCCCCGTACCCACGTGCAATCACGTCCTGCCACGTGCAAACGCGGCTGATGGTACGTACACAAATGTCTTTCACATCCGTGTATCTAAGGCCTCGCACACATGTCTACTCATACACAAGCTTCTTGCCGACTTGCACGCATACAGGCGGCAATGTAAACTCGGTGATTGGCCCTCTGCGGAAGGATAGGGTCACCCTAACCGCCCTGTTCCTCCGTTAGTGTTCCTTCGCGTATCAGCCATCGCTCGAATTCGTCGCGCGAGAATGACTATCGATCAAGTAAAATTTAATAGAAGACTCCTTGTGAATAAATAAACTATTTTCAAAATTAGCAGTTTGTAATAAAAGCGAAAATCGAATTATATATATATATTAAAGTTTAGTCTAAATATATTATACAATATATTAAATATATTATATTAGCATCATCAATTATTTCGCGGAATTTCTACTATATGTATTCAAAAAATATCTTCCTCAAACTTATTATCATTTCTCGTATCAAATAGCAACAATATCAATGTACAAACATGGATAGTAATAACCCTGTCTTATCGTATAAATGCGTCCAAACGGTGCGTATCTCTCTCGTTACAACGGCACATCGTAACATTACGACTGTCGGCGGTCGTGAACGTCGCCGCGTGAAATGCAGCTGCATCGGCGACATAATTAAAGTCGCCCTTTGTCCCGCCGCGCATTTCGCTTGAATTATTCTCTGACTTTCAGGAATTTAGCGAGAGGCGCGGATGCGCGTCGCGCGTCGTATTTTCGCGCGAATATACGGGATTTAAAAAGTGTGTGGCTCACGTTTCCGGAAACATGCGCTAAATGCGTCTCGCGACGCCATACATCAAGTCTCCCGGGATAAAGGAAACTTGGTGCGATAGGCATTACTTTCACGGACAGTCGGAGAAAGAGAGAAGAGGAGAAAAAGGATGTATGACTCCGTATTTATATTTAATATTGCATTCTAGTGCAGCGGCCCTCTCTGTTTGATATTAATCACAATGCGAGCTCGCCCATTTAACTGCTTCCATTCACCGGAAGCTGCAATTGATTGCAACATCCATGTCTCTAGAGGGTATTATCGCTGTTGCGTTAGGCTACATCTCGTACCAGCATCTCATTTGCGATTGCTGTGCCAACATACATGAACTCATATCTTTGGAAACGCGATATTGTCACATGAGAATGTCGTGCAATTTTACAAGCTTCGTAATATTAATATAATACTTACGAAAAATATTATATATATATATATTTAAGAGGATTAAATGATATCCAGTATATATTCTGAATTCTTGCGTTTGTAGAAATATAAAAATTAACTCTGTTGAAAATTTTTACATTCTTACATTTTTTGAGAAAATTTAGTCAAATGACTTTAAAATATATTTAATGCTGCGGTTAATAAAGAGAGTTATATAATCAGATATAATTAATTTAACCAAAATTCTTTACAAGTAACAGATCTTGCGTAAAGTTCATTTCCCTTAATGATCCCTCTTTGCAAATTTACATTGTTATCTAGACCGCAGCTGGGATTATGAGCGCGATCAATTCTCACAAGGAAGCTATCTAAATAATATTTGCTATTTAATTTAAAAATATTAGGGGAAAATTTATATCGCGACATTGTGAAATAATAATGCAGAATAGCATAAATATATATAATGTCTTTTTATAATCCGGAGATATATCTCGTATAATTAAAACTTTATAAATATCTCTTCGAAAAATTGCATATGTGTGTTATTACATTTCACGTTTTACTGATGTACTATAATAAAGAATGTATTTTTTTCATCTTCTTTGCAGAACTGATGTGGACGCTGCGTCCGGCACGAAAAGTGGCACTTTAAAATTCGTAAGAACTCTGACAAATATCTCGAAGGATGCTGGCGGTGTCGCCCATATGCGATGCGAAGTCGTGGGCGATCCTCCGCCGACAAAGATACGGTGGTTCAAGAACGAAGCTCCGTTAGAAGAAGACCGACCGAAAATCACCATTAGGAAAATACACGCACAAGTATGCGCAAAATTATCAAACTGTTACAAATTCACAATTGCTCCTCTGAGAACGTCACGCGAAAGAAATTTTTTTTTTAATATTAGCTCTTCTATCTCTGTTTTTAAATTAAAATTTTATATTTTTACACATGTTAGATACTTTTTAATATTAGGTTATTTATTTTTTATTTTATATTTCTCATATTATTACTCAATAAATGTTGATCAATATGTTCAACATTTCAGATGCACGAACATGCAGCGAAGAATCTGGCGGGAAGTCGATTAAAAATCACAAATTTGGACGTTTCTGATGTTGGTTTTTATACTTGTCGCGTTACCAACGGCAAGGATCAAATTCAGAGCGAAGGAACTCTACGAGTCGATTCCTCGAAGAAATGGCAAGGTATGTAAAATTCAAAATTAAGCATGTCTTTTTATTAGCATATTGAATTGTTGTGCTTGAAATAATAATTAATCGTTTGTATAACAAAGTAATATAATTAGCAACATTTTTGCGGGTATATATGATCGCGTTCATTTTGAATATTTAATCATTCGATAAATAAGATGCATTACAAGATACTTTAATTTGTTATGAAAACTCTATATTTTTTATTTGAATGAAAATTTTTCCGTATTACATTATTATTTTAATTTGTAATATTGCGTTTAAACAAAACGAGATTTTTATGCATATTCCGTATAAAATTATGCCCGAGCGGCCGTTACGCAATTACGTTAACGAGCCTCGGCGTAACCATTAGGAAGGATAATCATATCTCTTTGTAATTTTAAAGCCATGCGAAATTCGCCCATAATCCTAGTGGTTTATATTGCACGTGAATAACTAAATACGCGAGTTTTAAACATACACGGCCCGTAAAATCCGACGAGTATGATATTTTCACGTCACCGAAGGACGAGTCTCGGAAGGTGAGTTTGTGGCCGTAACTCGCTTATGGAACACAACACCGTAAAAAACATTTGTAATGCGGGTAGTGAATCGTGACACTTTATCCACCCCGTCACGGCGAAAATTTTCGAGTAAACGCATTAAACGTCGGAAGTAACGGTGTATGTTTGACGCGAGAGCATTACCATAAAACGCAAAACCGCCTGACTATGAAAACGGTTATGCAGCTTGGCTCTACACCAACTGTATTGTTATCTTATGCTCCAAGGGCGTAAGCAGGATTTTCTCGAAACGATGTTTTAACCGCCGTAACATTAAACCTACATTCATTAAAAGAGAATATATTTTAGATTTACTATAAAGAATGTTTTTATATTAGTTGTGTTTTTATATGACCATAGAAAATTCAGGAATCTGTTGAAAATTTCTAAAAGAATTTTTAGTTTAAAATTTTTTGATGTTATATCAAGACAAAATGAGTGGATATAGCGAATAATAGTTTGCAAAAGATCATTAGTTTTATTGTTAATTTGTATGTATAGTGAAATACTTTTCACATTTCGTTTTTACACTAGTTTAATTGTTCTCTTTGTTTTTTTTATTTTATGTATGTTTGTGTTGTTTCATTATTTAATATTTTATTATATTAATATAAAATTTCTGTAATGTTTATTTTGGGAAGATATGTCTTAAAATTTGAACCCTATAAGAATCTTTGCGGCTACGTTCCTGTATTATCTCTCTGCTCTAGTGGGTACTTCGTGTTTACGATGCACTACGCTTTCATACTCGAGATTATTCCAGTTAATGTGATATTACAGTAAATATTTAAAGATTGTAATTAGAGAGAATGCAATTGTCGATATATCGTTGGCCCATTAAAAATTTTGCTAGCTTCAAGATTATTTATTTTAATAAACAAGATAACATCAACAATTTTTATCTTATTAAGATAGTAATAATCTGTTATTTATAATTTTGTATAATCCGAGAAATATATTTTACAAATTGAAATAAAACAGTCTAGTAAAAATGATCGCGATTATCGAATCTATATCGTACGATCGTAAAGCATTAAATATCTAAAATGCATTTATTATATTTATTCGTGTAAATATGCATTCTTATTTCAGTTTTTGCTCAAAAATGGAAGACACTGCGAAAGCGAAGTTTTCTGAATCGTAAAAGTAATTTCTAGGAAGGACTCATAAAAGTAATGCCATTATATATGATATATATATATATATATGTATACACGCACATAAATATCGCGTTTCTCAACGTAGCGAAAATCGAATCGAATTAAGAAAAAGTCAGATTTGTAGTTGTCGACCGAGGTGGAACGACGAAGAAAAGCTCTTTCGTGTTTCGGCTTTGAGAGAAACAAAAATAAGAAACTTAACGCGGTCGTAAAACTTTTAGTTTGAAGCGAATTCACGATCGACATTCATTATTAGAGTAAACGGAAAATAAATTTTAAAAAAGTAAAATACAAAGAAAAGTATTTTTTTGACACGCATTTGGATTATCTTCAATTATGAATCGCTAATTTATCAGAATAATGAAAACCGTGATGATAAAATACAAAGCAATTGCTAAAGTTGATTAACATCATTTTAATAATCGCTTAAATTATCAAAAATAAATCATCGAAGTAATAATTGTTAAATCTGATTATTTAATTAGTACATTGTTATTGTACAATATTTATGTGATATTATATTTGCGATCAATAAATTGATAATTATAATAAATTTATAATTGATACGCATGGGAAGAAATTATTATCCGCACTGTTCTTTATTAGTTTAATCTTCGAAGTTCATCAGAGATTTAACTCTGGCAATAAATTATTTATCGAGATCATAATTTATTAACATTGTTATTGAATAATATCTAATTTAAATGCATCAGACAATAATTTTCAACTCGCCGATTAATGGTATTTTACTCCTCTTTCGGCATACAATACATACTTTTCAAGATCATACAAATTTTTCTCTTGACCTCCCTTCTCGACATCTTGAGATGCACTTTATTTCAAGAACTTCATTATGCGTGGTGTAAATTAGTTTCAATTTATCGCGAGACGAGGGGCAAACTTCTTAAAGCAAAACTCCGGGCATTTTCTCAGACGAAGTCATTGCGCGACAGCTCTGACAAATTCTAATCCAGCTTTGTAGTGTTTCGGTTAATGCGCGAAGTATAGCAAGAATGAGAAGCAAACCTCGGCAAAGTCTACCTCTTCAAGATAGACAAATTGTGCCAGCTCTTCTTCTAGAGTATGAAAGTTTATTGTTAATGCCACATAAGTAGAATTTGGAAGCCACTGTCAGCAAACTACGCTCAAGTTTCAAGAATCATGTTCAGTTGACACATACTATTAACTATTTATCATTAATCAGACGCAAGTCATAAGTATTTTTGAAATAAGTTAGACAATTCTACCTTGCTACAAAGATTTCTCATAATAATAATTTTGCAATTCTTTGTAACGTGGATATGTTAGTAATTAAAAAGATGAATATATCGCTAATTAATTATATTTAACGTACGAAAATTATATAGAAAATGAAGTCATGAGATAAAATACGAGGAAAAATGTATATATATCAGATATATATTTTATAAAAGCCCCATGAATCTGTCTGATATTTATAGATATGTACAAATACATATATAATCGATTTCGATCGTGCTTATTTCATTTAACTACATCGCGATTTAAGCACATTTCTCCCTGTAAATTCTCTTCGAGCAGAATGACATTTACAACTCGAGACAGGAATAACAGCGAGCAAACACAGTTCAGGGCGAGAAACTCGCGGCCTTTCCGGTTTGCTTCGATGGACCGGTTTGAAAAACCTTTTGTACCTCATCTCCTAGCGGTAGGGCAATGTCCCGATGGAACTTCCTGTAATAAAGTTTCCGAAAAGCTCTCACGCCCGGAGGCGATGAAACAAAACTGGCGGCGTTCCTGGGACGAAGTTACCGCCGAAGAGACGTCCCTAACAAATTCTAATCTAATCCCGAGAGCCGGGGCGCCTCGGCTAATGCACGAGGCGCGGCGGGCACCTCTCTTCTCGTCGTGTCGTGTCCTCGTTCCGAAGCCTGGCCCTTCATTCCCGTGCGGCACACGACGAACTTTAATATTAGCACTCTGCAAGTCAAACTCGTCGCTGGAAAATTCAAACTTCTTTCCTCTCTCGCCGAAGAGCGTTGCCGACCCCACGGGGGTTTAACACCGACGCGGGAGGCGAGGGTAAAACATTGCTAGATTGCGCAAGATCCGCGAGGGGGAACGCGAAAGATCGCGAGGGGTGCCGACGGAATGACGGGAGATGACTTCTTTTCAAACAGTGAAGAACGTAATCGTCTGACTTAACTATTACCTTGTAAATCTTGGCATGTTAACGTGTTAGTCGTATATTACTTTCAGCATCGCAACGCGGATGCCTTATGTTTAATTCCGAGGGTGAAAACACGGGTTAATTAACGTGTAGCAGGTTCGGGATCGCCCAATTAATTGGTGCTTCGGCCGTAGGTTGCGAAATGAAAATGGATGTTAAATTATAATTTTACTATGCTTACTTTAATGTCACATTTATTCGTATACCGATAATTAATATCGAATATTGAAATAAAATAAACGACGGTCACAAAAGTATCTCATATAAACATAATCCAATCCGATATTTCCAAAGCTTTATGTCATATAGTAATTAATAACCAAAAAATTTTTTTATATTAAATTATATATGTATATATATATAATTTAAATGATGTCTTTAATATTTTAAATATACCGCTTTTCTCTTATATAAGCAATGCGAATATATTTGTACATAATATCAATATATTTGTTCACACACAAAAGAATAGCACTCAGTAATCTAGAATTGTAGTGCAGCTTATGCGTTATGCAAACACGATTTTATGGGAAGATATCGTCATGGCAGCTAAAATTTACTCCTTGTGTTTACCAGCGATTGTTTCATGTGATACGGAAACCGACCAAATTCGCCGCACGTCGTCTGCATCGTAAACTTTGCGCGCGAATGAAATTCATATCGTAAACGTGAGGCTTGGCATACACTCGGGAGTTTCAGGCTCTCTCTTTATCGTTGGCAATGTTTTCTCTAAGCTTAACAATTTATCCCCTAAAAAATATATTTTCATACATATTTTTAAATTTCTCGAATGTAAATTATATAATTTGATATATAATTCTCCTCTGCTTTATAAATCAGTTTTAATTAGAACTAAATCTGCATTTTACAAAAAACATTGTGTTAAAACAGTCACATTTTTCAATTTTTTATTATATATTTGCGAATTATATCGTGTTTTATTTTTATATCTTTTATTATGACACAATTTTAATTTTTCTTTCGCTTAATTTTAAATGTATTTTAATTTAACAAAATTGGAAAAAAAAATGTGGTAAAACTTTTACATCCATTTACCTTTATTTTTTGTTAAAAAATAGA